CCACGGCCCGGCCGCGCAGGGGTCGTGTCCCCGTGGGGCAAGGCCACCCCCACCGGCGGGTGAGGCTGGCCGCTGTATAGGCTCCTTGCACACACACATGTAAGCGTACATATATATACACACACACATATAGATCTGTATTTACATTCCTCTTCTGTAGCCAACGGGCCACATCTGAAACCACTATAATTCTTAAATGCTGAAGTGGAGATTGGTACCCGCAACGTTAACTCTTTGTAGGGGTCCTCATGATTAAACACCCGTGTTTTGTACTGGTGTCAAAAAATTCCAGGAGACCCGCGATAACTTCCAGGTTTCCTTGTGGCTGCGGGTGGTGGTGGTGGTCCAGAAAAATGGATGCGCTGCTTCACAGCCTCAATATAGGGAATATTATGCTTGCTGCATGTCCAGGTCACTTACATCCCACTTGCAGGTGTGGAAGGGTTGGTGCATTTTGCACTAGCCAAAAGGTGAAAGGAGTGTCGTGTAGTCCCGGGTCCTGTGGGTTCCCTGAGATGCCCACAACGTTTTGTGACACACACGTTACGCATGATAAACGCAATTTCAATGAATACTGCTCTGACCGCACTTCGAAATAACCCTCCAAACTTGGTTATTAAATTAACAGCTCTAACGAGGTATCGTCTGTCTTTCAGGCAACATTATGGATCAATGGAGCATTTGTCTTTTTCCTATATCTATAAAAAAAGCTCTATGAAATTAATCCCTCCGCTGGAATCGATATTGGTTCTGTAGCTCCTTGCCCCAGAGGGTGATGCGAAAGGTGCGCCTGGTTCACGGTCCGCACGGTTCCAATTGAAAACTGGTCCTTATGAATTTAAATTTTCATTTTTTATATTTTTGGGGGTTTTTTTTCTGTTATATGCGGTGCTTAACTGCTTTCAAGTTTTCCAGCAATGATTTATGATCTTAAATGCAGAGCCAATGACATACGCTGTTCCTCAGTGACTTCAATAAATACGAAGTTGTGAATGAATGTTGCTATCAGAATAGCTTTCCCGGCGCTTAAAAATATCTGAGGAAAGTAAGTACGAAGCGCCAGTCGTTTCTCATGATAATGTTCTTGCCTAGGAGCGTTTAAATCAGATTTTTCACAGGGCTTTGATTTCCGGTAGGAACTATTTATATCTCCGCATAGGTGATGTTGTAAAATTATGGGCGCTTGAAATAATTTTACCGGAGGAAGCCGTGGGAAAAACGCGGGCCCGGGCTCTCCGTGAGGGGAGAGAGCTTCGGGGGGGGGGTTCGCCCCG